GACGCGTCCCAGAGCCCTCGCCGGTCCTCCTGGCGGCCTCCTCGAGGTCCTCTGCCCCGTCGTGATGGGTGCAGCAGGCCGCGCGCATGCGCTCCGGCACCTCGGAGCCACCATCGGCCGGGGCACGCGGAGGCGTGCGCGCGCCCCTCGTGGGATGTCCTCGGGATCTGCGAGCTCCTCGGGCGACGCAACAGAAAACGGGGTCGTCGTCGCCGACATTCGCGCGTGAGCTGCCCAAGTACTGTCGTGCGGAAGCGCCCTCGTCTCCACCGTAGCCTGCTGCGCTGGCGGCCCGCGCAAGTCACCGCGTAGGGTCGCTGCGTCCTCCTGCGTGAGACCCGTCTTTGACCGTCGCCCAGTTGGCGAAGGTCGAAGCTCCTCGGGAGCGCGAGCGCGAGAAGGGCGAACTTTCTGGGAACGCCGTGTGTGCGTCCCAGCCCTCCTGTGCTGTGGGGTCCTCGTTTTGGCTCCGCCGCCGCGCGCGTCTCGCTGCTCCTCCTTCCCCCGCCCCTCCTGGCCTCTGCCCTCTGCGTGCTCCTCTCGGCGCAGCTCCTCACGCGCACGTCGCCGTGCACCCTCGGGGAGCTTCTCCTGCGGATCCCCGTGGGCGCGCCCGCGCGCGGAGCCGCGCCTGGGGTCGGCACAAGCCTGCCAGGTCTCGCGTGCACCTGAGGACGCTCCGCCTACCGATTCAGTGGGCGCGTCCGCAGGCGCGCCCACGCCCATTTCGGCACACCACTTACGCACGTCTCGTGCCCGACAGGCGTTTCGGGCCCCTCCCTGAGCTCCGCCTGCGGTAATTGGTGGGCGCGTCCGCATGCGGACCCGCACCCGTTTCGGCAGACCTCCCACGCGAATCGTGGCCCCTGGAGCGAGTTCTACTCAGCTGGCGCGCCCGCATGCGGGCCTGCACCCATGTCGGCACAACTCTGACACGTTCCGTGGCCCCATAGCGAGCTCGACCTACGGATTCAGTGGGCGCGTCCGCATGTGTGCCTGCGCCCATTTCGGCACACCCCTCACGAGGGTCGTGGCTCCTTAGGGAGCTTCACCCACGTCTCAGTGGGCGCATCCGCATGCGGGCACGCGTCAATGAGGCAAGCGGAGGCAACACCGACGAAAACGATCAGACAACTCGACCCTCGATGATATTCGATCGAGCGGCCCATCGATGAGGCGGAGGAGGAGGAGGAAGAGGAGGCGGAGGAGGAGGGGGAGGGAAGAGGAGTAGGAGGAGGAGGAGGAGGAGGAGGAGGAGGAAGATTATGATTATGATGATGATGATGATGATGATGATGATGATGATGATGATGATGATGATGATGATGATGATGATTATGATGATGATGCTACCGATTCTGCTGCTGATGATAATGATGATGATCATGCTGATGCTGCTGCCGATGATGATGCTGCTGCTGATGATGATATTTATGATTATGATGATGATTCTGCTGATGCTGATTCGGATGATGATGACGATGCTGCTGCTGCTGATGATGATGATGATGATGATGAATGTGATGATGATGATGATGATGATGATGATGATGATGATGATGATGATGATGATGATGACGGTGATGATGATGATGATGATGATGATGATGATGATGTGATGATGATGTTGATGGATGATGGTGATGGTATTGGTGATGGTGATGGTGATGGTGAGGTGATTTATGCATGATGACGTTTCAAGATGCTGTACTGAATGATGATCGGGTGATGATGCATGATGATGATGAGGATGATGATGATGATGATGATGATGTGATGATGATGATGATGATGATGATGATGATATGATGATGCTGCTGATGGATTGTTGATGATGATGATGATGATGATGGATGATGGATGTATGATGATGATGTTGTGATGATGATGATGATGATTGATGATGCTGATGATGTGAATATGATGTGCTGAGATGATGATGCTGCTGATGATGATGATGATGATGATGTTTGTGGAGGAGGATGAGGAGGAGGATGGGGAGGAGGAGGAGGATGAGGAGGCGGAGGAGGACGAGGAGGAAGAGGAGGAGAGGAGGAGGGAGGAGGGTGAGGAGGGAGGAGGGGAAGAGGAGGCGTGAGGATGAGGAGGAGGAGGAGGAGAGGAGGGGGGGGGGGGGGGGGGAAGTGAGGGGGGAAGTGATGATGTGATGGATGATGATGATGATGATGATGATGAGGATGATGTTTTGTGATGATGTTTTGTGATTATGAGATGCTGATGCTGTATGCTGATGGATGATGAGGGGACTGATATTGGATGATGATGATTGATGATGAGATGATGATGCTGATGAGATGATGATGAAGATGATGATGATGATGTTGAAGATGATGATGATGATGATGATGATGATGATGATGATGATGATGATGATGATGATGATGATGTGATGATGATGATGTTGATGATGATGAGGAGGAGGAGGAGGAGGAGGAGGAGGAGGAGGCGCAGGAGGAGGAGGAGGAGGAGGAGGACCAGTGAAAACCCAAGACTCACCAACGAGGTTGGAGTACACCCTCCCTCCAAGCGCCCTCTTCATATGCCCCTAGAAGGGATCATTTCCACCGAGGGAAATGCTCCGTAGGAGGACAACTGTGTGAAAATCTTGAAGCGTGCCCAAACACAATTCCCATCACCTCAGCGCCACGAGTTAACCTGACTTGGCGATCCTGAATCGTGCCAGAACATCATTACTGGGACGTCAACACCGCGAATAATCAGCGTAACCGTTGCGCCCTGACAGTCCTGAATCGTTCCAACACATTTTCTGGTACGTTAACCATGAGAATCAAGGGAACTCTTGCGAATTTTGAAGACGAATGTGCGCGGCGCGCAGACGAGAGCCACATGTTGAAAAGGAGCCGTCCTGAATCCGTGAAGCTCTGGCAAATTCTTGCAACGAGTGTGCGCGACGCTGAGGCGAGAGCCACATTTTGAAAAGGAACCGCCCAGAATCCGTGAAATTCTTGCAGATTTTAAATCGAATGTGCGCGGCGCTAAGGCGAAAGTCACATTTTGAGAAGAACCCGCCTTCAATCCGTGAAACTTGTACGTGGCGCTAAGGCGAGAGCCACACTTTGAACACCACCCGCCCTCCATTTGTGAAGTCGTTGCCAACTTTGTAAGCTTCAGGAGCATACATGCTGAGGAAGTCTCAGGCGAAACGCCCAGCCCGCCCTTTCGACTGGCCTCGGGGTGCGACAGGGAGGAGTTATCTATAAGGACAAGAAATGGAGGAGGAGGAGGAGGAGGAGGAGGAGGAGTGGAGGAGGAGGAGGCGGAGAAGGAGGCCGAGGAGGAGGAGGAGGAGGAGGAAGAGGAGGAAAAGGAGCAGGAGGAGGAGGAGGAGGAGGAGGAGGAGGAGGAGGAGGAGGAGGAGGCGGAGGAGGGGTAGGAACAGGAGCAGGAGCCGGGCGGCCTGGCCGGCGGAGGCCCCCGAACGTGGACTCGATGCTGCAGAAGAAGGGCGGCATTCCCCCGCTGCCCCAGTGGGCCCCGTACCCGGAGCCTCTGGGGGGCAGGGATGAATGGGTGTTGAAACTCATGCGCCCCACGCCTTAGACGGGCGGGGGGGGAGCTCCAAGGACGATATGGGGGTGGTGCGGGTTGAGTGACGGGGGCGGGGAGATTCACCAAACCTTGGCTCCCGTGCTGCTAGATACCGCGTGTTTCTGCCAGCAGCTAGTGAGTGCCGCACCAAGCTGACCGTCTCCTCGGCGAATCAGAACGCAATCCGGAAATCCCTGTCCCCCTGTGCGCGCCGCCAGTTGCGACGGGAGGGGTCTCCAGAGGTCCTCCGTGGCGGCCCCTGGAGACCTCTGGAGGTCTCAAAGGTGCGGGGGGCGCTGCTTGGAGAGCTTTTTTTGAAGTGTCCGCCGGTAGCCCGGGCTATCGGGCCCGCACCCTCCTCGCTTCCCCCCCCCTCTCGGGTAATTTGACCTTGTCGGCAGGTGCGCAGGTCCGAGGGGGTGCGCAGTGCTGGTGCGCGCGGGCATGCGCGGGGCTTCCCGAAGTGGCAAGGTTAGGTTATCGCCCCCCCCCCCCCCCCCCCCCCCCAAATCGGATAACTCGGGTAACCGCTGGACAGTAAACAAGGATCTCTTGGCGGGCAGGGAGGGAGGCCTGTGAGGACAGCGTTGCCAACGCATGAACTTTCGGAGCTCCGCGCGGGTTTCTTGGATCGGCGCTTGGCCCCACTGGCGGCGCCTCCAGCGCCGCCCCTGCCGCGCTCCGCGCGTCAGGGAGGGGAGCCCAGTGCCGATCCAAGAAATCCTAGCAGACCTCCGAACGTTTATGTTTATACGGCTTTTTGATGCTCTACTCGAGGTGCGAGGCTTTGGCCTGTTGATTGCCTTCCTCTGGGGCTTCTCGTCGCCACGGCGGGGTTCCTGCCGAAATTCTGCCCAGATCGCACCAGCGGATAGGTCCAGAGATCGATTTCGGAGAGGAAGAGGATGAGGAGAAGGAAGAGTTTGAGAACGAGGAGGGAACTAATCAGCGCCAGAAGCGTGGCGTTTGGTGCGAAGGGCTGGCAAGCAATCGCTTGTCACCTGGGGACGTGTTACCCGTGCCTCGCGCTAGGACGACGGAGGGTGAGTAGTAATGGGATAAGATAGGCGGAGTTAAGCCAGACACAGCAATGCCAACCGTCGAATGCGGGATAATTCGTGGCCCCGTGCCCCGGCGTCACTCGGACGCGCGTGCGGATCGCCACTGCCGCGCTGCGACGTGAAAGGCGCGCGCGCGCGCGCGCGCGCGCGTGTTGTGTGTGTGTGTGTGTGTGTGTGTGTGTGTTTGTTGTGTTGGGTTGCGTGTGTGTGTGTGTGTGTGTGTGTGTGTGTGTGTGTGTGTGTGTGTGTGCGTCCGTGTGTGTGTGTGTGTGTGCGTGCGCGCGCGTAGGTGCTTGGTGGGCAGGGGGTCAGGAGGAGGACCACAGCAAATATAGGAGGCGCCAGCGATGCTGCAGCACACCTCCTCCTCCTCCTCCTATCCTCTCCTCCCCCTCCCCCTCCTCCTCCTCCTCCTCCTCTCCTCCTCCTCCTCATCCTCACTCCTCTCCTCCTCCTCCTCCCCTCCTCTCTCCTCTCTCTCCCTCCTCCTCCTCCTTCCTTCCTCTCTTCCTTCTCTTCCTCCTCCTCCTCTCCTCATCCTCCTCCTCCTCCTTCTCCTCCTCCTCCTCCTCCTCCTCCTCTCCTCCGCCAGACCCCGTGGTTCTGCCGATTCGCTGTCCGTCCTTGTCGCAATGAGGTAAGGCCATCATAGTAATCCGAGTGTCCAGCGACAGCACCGTTTTGAGACGGATCTGCCCTTCGTCAGTATATGCAATGCAGAATTTCGAAATTCTTGCCGTAAAGTTCGGGGAAGACTCACTCAAGAGCCCCGTGTTCAAAATGAACCGCCCTGCACCTCTGTATTTGTTTCACAGTTTTGAACTTTATGGGCCACAGCAGTGTACGCAGTTTCACGGGGGACTCCCATTTTGAAGAGTTATCGCCCTGCATACAAAAGGTTGCTCTTTTTCGATAAAGATGGATGTACGCGGCGCCAAAGCGAGAGCTCCATTTCGAAAACCACCTGTGCTCCATCTGTGTAGCTGTTTGGCATTTCAAGCTTCGAGAACATATCTTGTGCGGAAGTTCCTGGTGAAACGCCCATCACGCCTTGATGACACGTTTGCTGGTGCGACAGGGAGGGTTCTCTCTAAGGAAGAGGGATGGAGGACGAGTGGGATGATGATGGTGATGATGATGACGACGATGATGATGACGATGATGATGATCATGCCGATACGTATGCTTAAGCTGATGTTGCTGTTGCTGATGATGATGGTGGTGGTGGTGATGATGCTGCTGCTGATGATGCTGATACGATGATGGCTGTGATGCTGATGATGCTGTCGATGATGCTAATGATGACGATGATGCTGATGATGATGACTATGATGATGCTGATGCTCATGATTATGATGCGGATGATGCGGATGATGATGATGACGATGATGAAAATGATGATGCAAGTGCTGATTCTAATGATGCTGATGATGATGATTATGATGAGGGGGATTATGATACGGATAAGGTCAATGCTTATCACGATAATGATGATGATGGTGGCGGTGGTGATGATGATGGTTGTGGTTGGTGTGGTGATGACGATGCTGATGATGGTGATGATGATGCTGCTGATGATGATGATGATAATGATGTTGATGATGATGATGATGATTATGATAATGATGATGATGGTGATGCTGATGATGCTGATGATGATGACGATGATGATGATTATGATGATGATGAGGGTGATTATGATGATGATGATGATGATGATGATGATGACGATCTGATGGTGATGATGCTGATGGTGCTGTCGACGATGAGAATGATGATAATGAGGATGCCGATGATGATGATGATGTTGATGATGATGATGATGATGATGGTGATGACGACGACGACGATGATGCTGATGATGATGATGGTGGCGATGATGATGATGATGATGATGAGGATGATGATGATGATGATGATGATGATGATGATGATGACGATGGTGATGATTGATGATGATTGTGATGATGGTGATGATGATGCTGCTGTTGATGATGATGATGAGGATGATGAGGATGATGAGGATGATGCGATGACGATGACGATGATGATGTGATGATGTGATGATGATGATGGATGATGGATGGATGATGGTGATTGATGATGATGATGACGATGATGATGATGATGATGATGATGATGATGATGATGATGATGATTGATGCTGGATGCTGATGGATGATGGTGATGATGAGACGATGATGATGATGATGATGAGATGATTGGAAAATTGGGTAATGGGGATTGGGATTTTTGATGATGATGATGATGATGATGATGATGATGATTTGATTGTGTTGATGATGATGATGATGATGATGATGCTGATGATGATGATGATGATGAGAGTGATGATGAGATGAGATGATGATGATGAGGATGATGATTGATGAGATGATGATGATGATGATGATGATGAGATGATGATGATGACGACGACGACGACGAGAAGGAGGGAAGAGGAGGAGGAGAGCAGGAGGAAGAGGAGGAAGGAGGAGAGAGGAGGAGGAGCGAGGAGGAGGAGGAGGAGGACCAGGGGAGGAGAAGCGGTTTTTTTTTTGAATTTTTTTTTTTTTCTTTTTCGAGGAGGTGGAGGAGGAGGAGGGGGAGGAGGAGGAGGAGGAGGAGGAGGAGGAGGAGGAGGAGGAGGAGGAGGAGGAGTAGGAGGAGGAGGAGGAGCGAGGAGTGAGGAGGAGGAGGGAGGAGGAGGGAGAGGTAGGGGAGGAGGAGGAGGAGTAGGAGGAGGAGGAGGAGAGAGGAGGAGGAGGAGGAGGAGGAGGAGGATGAGCAGGAGGAGGCGGAGGAGGAGGAGGAGGATCGGGCGGTAAGCTTTGCTCCCGCTTCAGGATCCTGACCCCCGGAGGTCCCCGCAGTTCCCTGGCAGGCTTCCAGAGGCCTCTGGAGGCCCGGCAGGCCGGGCGCACCGCTCCGCCTGCCGCGCCGTGCCGCCGGAGTGTCGATGATCCTCAGGACGTGTGCTGGCCCAAGCGTGTGCGCGCCCTCTCGGCTCCGCCGACTGCGCGCACTCCGTGCGCAGGCCCTCGTCGAGCCGCCAGCGTCGTGATGATGAAGGGCCTCGGTGGGCGAGGACACGTTGGCGTTGCCACGCGCTCTGAGTTGGCACACGTTGGCACGCGTTGGCGCTGGGGAGTGCTCGCCCCCTCTGCCCGTCGTCGGTGCCGTGCTGAGCGGGCCACCCGCAGGGGCCTCGCGCCGCCTGCGAGTGCGAGCGCGAGCGGCGGGCCTCGCCCGAGAGCGTCGCAGCTTCGCGTCGATGCCTTTCCCTCCCTCCCCCCCCCGCCTCCCTTGCCTCCTCGCTCCTCCTCCTCGCTCCTCGCTCCTCGCTCCTCCTCCTCCTCCATCCCTTTTCCTTATCAAGAACTACTCTCTGTCGCACCCTCAGACGTGTCCGAAGGGCAGGCAGGGCGTATCGCCTGAAACATCGTCGCCAGTTCTCATCCTGAAGCTTGAAGTTGTCAGCAGTTTCACGGATGGAGGGCGGGTCCCCTTCAAAATAATTCTCTCGCTTCAGCGCCGCGTGCATTCGTTTTAAAAGTTTGCAGCAGTTTCCAGGAATCGCAGGGTCGAAGTCCTAGGAATGACGCTCTAGCGCGATTTAGGGTTGCCAGGACGCAGCAATCACAATGATTCGCTGTCTTAAAGTCCCAGGAATGGTGTTCTGGCACGCTTTACGGTCATCAGGACGCCACAGTCGCGTTGTTCCATGCCGTTGAAGTTCCAGGAATGGTATTATCAGTTGGTTGTCTTGTAGTGGGGAATTTCTTTCAAAACAAGAAAGTGTTTTTTTGACCAACGAAGAGGGAACTTGGAGGGAGGACTTACTGCAATATCGTTGATACGTCTTAGTTTTGCGCCAGTCCTCCTCCTCCTCCTCCTCCTCCTCCTCCTCCGCCTCCTCCTCCTCCTCCTCCTTCCTCTCTTCCTCCTTCTCTTCCTCCTCCTGCTCCATCCTCCTCGCTCATCCTCCCTCCGCCTCGCCTCCCCCTCGAGGCCGACGCCACGAGCGATGGAGGAGGGCGGGCTGGGAGACTCGGCGCCCCCCTGAGGACCTGGCGAAGGACCTGCGCGTCAAGAGGATCCGCCGCCCCTCCCCCCTCGGGCTGCTCGAGCCCCGTGTACGCAGGCCTCCCCATGAGGAGGAGGAGGCAGAGGGGAAGGAGAGGGAAGAGGAGGAGGAGGGGGAGGAGGAGGAAAAGGAGGAGGAGGCGGAGGAGGAGGAGGAGGAGGAGGAGGAGGAGGAGGAGGCGGATTGGGATGAGGTGTAGGAGGAGGAGGCGGGCGGAGGAGGAGGAGGAGGGAGGAGGAGGAAGAGGAGGAGGAGGGAGGAGGAGGAGGAGGAGGAGGCGGATTGGGAGGGGGAAGTGGAGTGGGAGGGGGAGGAGGAAGGAGGAGGGGGAGGGGGAGGGGGAGGGAGGAGGAGGAACGAGGAGAGGAGGGAGGAGGAGGGAGGAGGAGGAGAAAGACGAGGAGGAGGAGCCCCCCGTCCCCTGCCCCTCCCCATCCTGCCCTTCTGGGTCCCGCGGCGAGGCGGGCCCTGGGGCCCCTGCCCTCGCCTCTCGGCCTCCCAGGGCCTTCCCGCGGGCACCGCTGGGCCATTAGGCGGAGGGCTCGGGACAAGAGGTGGGCTCTGGGGGAAGCCTCCGCCCCGGGCGGGGTGGGCAAAGGCGGCGACGACGACGGCGACGACGACGGCGACGGCGACGGCGACGGCGACGGCGACGGCGACGACGGCGACGGCGACGGCGACGACGGCGACAACGACGACGGCGACGGCGGCGGCGGCGGCCGCCGGGGTCTGGTGCCCCCGGGCGGCCGAGGACGGCGAACAAAAGCATCCGCACTGCTTTGCACCGCGTCGGAGGTCTGAGGTTGAGTCGGGCACGTCCCTCTACAGGGGGAAAGTTCAAAAATAATACAAAAATAGTCAGGGGACGATTTTTTGAGTATTTTTTGAATATTTTTGAGCATTGCTTGAATATTTTCAATTTTTCCTCCCAAATCCGCCTGTAGGGGGACACGCCCGACTTGAGTCTGAGGGCCTGGATGCGCTCGGGCTGGGGCATGAGAGACCGGGGTCGGTTTGGGGAGGGTGCTCTGGTGCTCTTCGTGCTTGCGGGGCGTTCCTGTGCATCCTTGGGGGGAGGGTGCCCTCGACAACTCTTCAGTTTGACCGGCGGAAGGTCTCGTGTTTTCGGAGGACCTTCTTCTGTTCTAGGCTCAGCCGTGTTCCACGCATTGGGACAACCAAGACAGCGCTTTTGCCCAAGTTCGGCCCTGAGGGGGCCCGTACCATGCCCCATGTGCCAGTGGGCCCAGGCGTCCATCATCCTGTCATGATGCCTGGGTTC